GGATTGTTCCTGCTGCCTGCACAGCAGGGGAAAATCCGAACTGCCTTCATAGCAAGAGGGGCTGGTTTGCTCATGCTGTGTTGTAGCCAAAAGGGAGGATGCATTTCTCCTGCAGCAGGGTAGAGCCAAGTTGCTTGCATTGCCCACTCATCCAAGGGGAGAGATTCTGGGGAAGTGGGGGGCACCTGTGTAGACTGTGGCCCTGGGGTCTGTGACCTGCAAAATGTGCAGCCCCCTGCTGTCCAAGAGTTGAACAACCGTATTCTACACTTTTTTGCTGGCTTCCTTGCAAGGAAGTTTTTAAATTGCTTTTTAGCTTACAGAAGGTACAAGAATTTTTTCCCTGTTGAAAGTGATTCTTTGCTCTCTGGGTGTGGAATATGATATGGAGAAACAAGCCATAGGATAAGAACATCAGAGAGTTTGCATGTCTTGTTCATGGTAAAAGGATAGTGGGTCAAAGGCTGACCCCAGTGTGGAAAAGGAGCTTTGGGATCTGAAAGCTTGGGAACAACTGGTCTTAAGAAACATTAATAAGATTTTCTCCTTTAACTAATTTGTGTTTTCTCCTGTAAATTGAAATTTATTTAAAAATGTGAACAAGTGGTAGTTACTAAGCAGAACTACTGACATGCAAGTTTATTGGCATATAACAGGGAAGTAAATCTACAGGTCTATGAAGTGACTGGTAGATGCCTTTCCAAAAAGGAAATGGCAGTTTTGAGGCTGCTACTGGAATTAACAAGGGGTTTTTGGAGCATTCTTTTATTTCACCTTTTACAGATTAACAAGAGTAATTTTAAAACATCAAATGAACTCTTCTAACTACTAGTACTTCACTGAGAGTCTTAAGCACTTTGCTTTGTAGTCAACTTATCTTGCAGAGATATCTGTTGAAAAATGTTTTGCTGCTTTATTGTTCAGAATGCTTCCTTTTACCTCTCTGAGAGAAGAGACCTTTTTTTTTATGATATACCTGCTTTTTACACTTCCCTTGCATACTTAAGCTGAAGATTCTGTTTTACTGTAAAGATCAAGAAAGAAAAGTAACATTAATTAAAATCACAGAAAGTAAATGGTATGTAGGAGTTGGGCCATGTATAATAACAGATTTTATATGTACAAGCTAAGTAAGTCTGAGAGAGCCCAGAGTATTTAAACATTTTTAAGTCTCCCACTTCCATCTGTCGCAAATATAATGGAGAAATATTTAATGGTAATATCAGGTTTTCTTTATGCACCTGTTTCAGTTAAAAAAAAAATGAAGAGCAGTATTTCCTGAAGTAATTTCATTACAGCATTTACTCAAAATCAAGGTGAGAACACCCCCATCTCCCCACCATTGAACATTGTTGGAAAAAAGTCTCTTGTCATGGACTGGAGTACAAGGCAGAATGGGGGCAGGCAGCTTCTGTCTTTCTATTTGGCAGAGAGAGAATTTACTATCCTACTCAGTGAATTGGATCAGCTGGATCATGATCTTATTCTTGGTTCCTTTTGTACTGCTTTATCCATGGAAGGAGCCAGAAGTCAATATAAAAGGGCAACAAGACATTCCTTCAGCGTGAGGGAATCTCCAGGAAGCTAGACCCTCAGAATATAATTCACAGTGGCGTCTTCTGGAGCAGACGGGGGACATGAAGAGTTGTGGCTGGAGTGTGAGAGCTCTGGTGATCTCTGGACAATGTAAAGGCTCTTACAGAGCAGCTCTGCCATCATTAATGCTTACAGGAAATTGTCCAGAAAGTGTCTGTCAGTCAAGGGCATTGTGGTAAGGGTAGCTTTATTGTGATTTAAGGATGCAGTATTCATAAGATCAGCCATTTTTCAATCAGATGACATTATATTGATCTTGGATCAGTCATGGTGGAAGCAACAGGAGCAAGATATTAGCTAGAAGGGTGTGTGATCTCCAGGGAACCAAGCTTTCTGTTTCCCACAGAAAAATGGAAAAAAACCCCCATGGATTTCCCCTTTTAACAGAGAAAGTGAATTTTTCATTTTAATGGAGAATACAGGTGGATTTTCCACTTTTGCAAAGAGCTCTCTGCAGGCTGGCTGAGTTCCAGGGAGGTGTCTGCAGGAAGCCCCACACGGAGGGCCATCCTGGCCCAATGGCACATGGGCTGGAAGCTGTGCACCATCTGGCTGGGTGGGAAGCTGCACATGGAGGCATGGAGTTGTGCATGATTGGGGTGGGTGGGCTGCTGCTTGCCTCCATGTGTGGCTTCCCTGTGGAGTGCTGGAACCCCCCATGTGGAGGCACGGAGCCAGCTTGACCTGATGATGCACAGTTCCTGCCTGCAGTGCTGTGATCTGCATATGCTGGGACTCAGCCAGAGGCACACACCACCAGGGGCTCTGCCTGCCGTGGCCATGAGCTCCTCAAAGGCCTGCTGCTGCTGAGCCACTTGCGGGGGGGGGTGCACTCACAAACCCCACACCAACCCACAAACCCTACACCCCCCACACCCCTTCACAATATCCCCCCCACACACCCATAAACCCCACAACCCTCACACACCCATAAACCCCGCATACTCCTATACCCACACCACCCCACACCTTCACAAATCCCCCCATGCACCCCTGACACGCATGCCAACTATACAAAATACCTGTATATATTTCTAAAGAAGGTTCAAATAGTGTTATATTTAGTTTAATTTGTAAAAAAAA